GATGCCTCCCGCTCAAACATGAGGACTGATGACAGCTCAGCAACGGCAATCATGTCCACTGCTGGCCTAGCACTCTTAGTTTTCCATTGCTCACTCAAACCCTGAAACAGGAGCTTGAAAAAAGATTTGAAGTGCAGAGAGATCAAGCATGAGAACACTGTCATTTCCTCTCTTATGTACACCCTGTATATACTTCATGTTATGGCCGATAACTGATAAATGGATGCTATTAAAATTCTATACCATCTTGTTTAAGTAAATAGAAATAAAACACTAAAAATTCATTGATGGTTTTAAATGCTACAGATGAATTTAGGCATCTTAAAAACAATGTACAAAAAAAATGGATGTTACTTACTTTATTTACTTTTACATTTACTGTAACTTATTAAATTATCGTTTTAAAGGACTAACATTAAGTGAGCATTAAGTGGCAAATGTAAATGTAAAATTACGGATAACTAAGTCTGTGTATTTTTATTAAATAATAAATATTTATTAAATATTTAAATTACATGTTTTTAAATATTTAATGTCATAATTAAAAAGTAAATAAAAAAACAAAATCACCCAATATAAATTACAGAATCAATGTACAATCAATGTAAATGTGTATATATATATATATATATCGACTGATACTGATAATTAAATAAACAAAAAAACGTTTAGTGTTGGACAACGTGTATCAAATATTAAAAATCAAAGGTGGAGAAATCTTTAAAAAAAATTGGCTAATATACAGTGGAGACCAAAAATAGAGAACAACCTACAATTTCCAAAATGTCAAGGTCACTGCTTAGTCCTATTTGAAGTTATCCTAACAGGAGTAGAAGGGCAGGTTTTTTTAAGCATATTTCATAAATTAATTGAATTGTGAAGAACAGTATAAAAAAACTTAAATTAGATATTTGAAAAAGAACTCTGATCAAAATTAGAGAACACTTCTAGATACCTCCAAGTTATTGGTGTTAATCTGGCACCTGGTGTTAATTTCCTTAATTATCTGACAAACCCTATTTAACTGGCAGCATTCCTCTAATTTTCACTGAGATTGCAAGATGGCGGGCCGCTCTAAGGTAACGGGAACCCTGCAACAGCAGGTTGTCCAGATGAAGGCTAAAGGAATGACCCTTTCAGCCATTGCAAGAGAAGTTGGTCATTCCAAATCTGTGATTTCTTGAATATTGCAGACACTATGACGCTAATTGACACTAATTCATTCAAGTCCCCCAAAAAGGCTGTTCGTCCACGTAAGACAAATGCACAAGAAGACAGGATAATGCAGAGACTCTTAATGGGGAGTCGGTTCAACACTGCAGCTGGAATTGCTTGCCAGTTCAGTGCTGAACAGGGTATGGATCTGTCTCTGCATGTTTAAGAGAAGTCGGACTGAAATTGCACTCTACAGTGACCAAGCCTCTCATCACAATTCGTCGGTCACGACGTGACTCGTAGTGACCGACTGAAAGGGAACAAGTGATGTCCTGCAGCCACAGATGTGCTGAAGTCATTCACAGCAAAGGCTTCTACACTTCCTACTAATTCCTGGAAGCTGTAACCCTCCAAAATTTGTTTCGTGCTACAGTGGTTATTGTTCTCTAATTTTGATCATTGTTTTTTTCACAAAATAAATGTTTTTATAGAAATGCTTTGGTTATTTTTTAAAACATGTTAGTATAACAGTGGTATACCCACAGCTAATATTCCTTGAAATTGAGCTATGAAGATTAACAATAATTTAGAAAAAAATCAAGTATTTATAGATTGTTCTCTAATTTTGATCTCCATTGTATATCCAATATTGGCGGATACAGAAAATAATTTTAAAAATTATATCATTCAATATCAACTATACTGAACAAAAAATAGTGTCTAATATATATATATATATATATGTATATATATATATATATATATATATACAATATTCAACTGATATGTTAACTTAAAAAATCTAATATAAGCCAATATAGATCTAGTATCGATCTAAAACATATATAAATCACCAAATAAGATAAATTGATCAATTTAAAAAAAATTTAACTAATATTGACCAACAATGATATATTCAACAATCTCTAATATCGGCAGATATACAGTATATCCGCCAGTTTCCACCAATACCAATAAATTAAAAAACATCTCCAATATCATCATAAATTTAATCTATCAGCCGGTAACCAATGGGGTACTGATAAACTGTGCATCCCAAAAAGCCATGTTGACTCTCAAAATGGTGGGGAACGGGTCACCTCCTCCTCTTTCTTCTTCTTCGGATGCTTTCGCTCCAGTCAGAATGGCGCAATTTCTCTCGTATATCCTCGCATGAGCTCTGGTGTAATTGAGGGGTGTGGGAGCGTACGGGTGGACAGCTGTCAGGGGAAGATAAAGAGGGTTTCCGCGGGTGTTGGGGAAAGGGGAGCATCCGATGAAGGGGTTCGCTGCAGCAACCCCACTGGCTGAATTACCTGGCCGCTTTATAATTGTGTGAGAGGGGTGCTTCCAACAGCTCTGTCATTACTCAAACATGTTAGTATAACAGTGGTATACCCACAGCTAATATTCCTTGAAATTGAGCTATGAAGATTAACAATAATTTAGAAAAAAATCAAGTATTTATAGATTGTTCTCTAATTTTGATCTCCATTGTATATCCAATATTGGCGGATACAGAAAATAATTTTAAAAATTATATCATTCAATATCAACTATACTGAACAAAAAATAGTGTCTAATATATATATATATATATATGTATATATATATATATATATATATATACAATATTCAACTGATATGTTAACTTAAAAAATCTAATATAAGCCAATATAGATCTAGTATCGATCTAAAACATATATAAATCACCAAATAAGATAAATTGATCAATTTAAAAAAAATTTAACTAATATTGACCAACAATGATATATTCAACAATCTCTAATATCGGCAGATATACAGTATATCCGCCAGTTTCCACCAATACCAATAAATTAAAAAACATCTCCAATATCATCATAAATTTAATCTATCAGCCGGTAACCAATGGGGTACTGATAAACTGTGCATCCCAAAAAGCCATGTTGACTCTCAAAATGGTGGGGAACGGGTCACCTCCTCCTCTTTCTTCTTCTTCGGATGCTTTCGCTCCAGTCAGAATGGCGCAATTTCTCTCGTATATCCTCGCATGAGCTCTGGTGTAATTGAGGGGTGTGGGAGCGTACGGGTGGACAGCTGTCAGGGGAAGATAAAGAGGGTTTCCGCGGGTGTTGGGGAAAGGGGAGCATCCGATGAAGGGGTTCGCTGCAGCAACCCCACTGGCTGAATTACCTGGCCGCTTTATAATTGTGTGAGAGGGGTGCTTCCAACAGCTCTGTCATTACTCAACCGGCCCAGCCCAGCGAGGGAGCTGCCTGCCTCCTTCCCTCCCTCTTGCTCTTTTCCTGTCCTGCACTTCAGTCCTCCTCTGTTCCTTTGTTCTTTCCTGTCTTGGGGTTGATGCGGCGCTGTGAACCCACTGTTTGAGGGGAAAACCATTACCTCTCATCAATCCCCCTGCTCTCCTCAGGGTGCTCTCTATTGTTATGGTGACCCACTAGTAGCTTTTTGCGCATTCTGATCTTTTCCCTTTCTTTTCTCCTCTTTTTGTCACAATGGGGTCCACTTTGCCGCAGTGCATATGGTGTAGCTTCAGATATCCTGTAAAGTGTGTGTGTGTTAAAATGGCAGGGAGCATGATAATGACTGTGAGGACTTCATAATTGCACTGTCTCAAGGCCTTTTATCTAGAACGAGTCTTGCCTATTTAGTCACATCAATGCCATACCGTACTATATGTCTCCACTTTGTCCAAACCCATGACAGCACTTGGTTACATCACCCCAGGGTAAAAGGCTTGTCATTTGATAAGATAATCAACATGCTTCAAGGGCAATTTGCAACGCAGAGAAAAGAAAGAATACATGGTAATTACACAGAAAGCCTAGCAGTAAGAGTCTGTAGAAGAGCCTATAATTTTCTCTTTAGAGGCTTTTTACAAGGGCCATTTGCTCTAATGCTTTTTTAACTGATGACTTTGGAATTTAATCTAATTAAGGAGCTGAGGCTTCAGGTTTTTTTTTTTTTTAAGTTTTGATTGCCTTTTTACCCTTATGAATTTAAGTAAATATATAAAAACACACACACACGCCAAAAATAAAATAAAAATTCAAAACACCTTTTCTGTGTGCAGAAAATGATCTTGATTTTTGTGGAAAATTCTGTGTTCCCATTTTTTTTTAAGTTTTGATCATTGAAAAGATGCTGAATCTCATTGATAATCAATGACAGATGATCATCAAAGGGTAAAAAGTAGAAAAGCATAAGGTTTCTGAACAGAATAAATTAATTCAATTGTTTATACAAGCAGAGTGAGATGCTTGTATAGGTTAATCTATTTATTTATTTATTTATTTATTTTTAATGTGGTATGTGGTAGGGACAATGAAACATTTAGCTGAACTTGAGCTTCTTAATTGTAGCTTTGATTGAAGTCAACATAATCTTGTTTTTGTGTATATTTTCATTTTTGCACAAAAGTTAGGAAGTGGTTAGTGTGAGATCAAATAATAATTAATCATAATTAATCCCTGCAAATCATAATTAATCCCGGCTGTAAAGCAAGCTGAACCCCTTTTTACTTATACACCATCCATATGCAAATATAAATGACTAGGATTCTCTAATGTAAAAGAAAATGGAAATGAGTATGACTTCTTTTTCCGTTTCCTCTCTAAAAGGCTTCTGCGAAATCTTGTTTGTCTCCCACTGTTGACCTCATGAACTTGTCTACTTGTCACTGATGTGCTTGTATCTCAGGTGCACGTTACTGGAATGGGTATTTCTGATGCATGTCACTGATACCAAAATGGTCAAATATGTGCATCTTTATTGTGTGTCAAAGGTGAAGGAGTATCTCATATGTGCCACTCATGTACATGTGTGTGTTTCTGTGTCCACAGAGGGAGGAACATGTGAGGTCATCGCAGCACACCGATGTTGCAACAAGAACCGCATTGAGGAGCGTTCCCAGACGGTCAAGTGCTCATGTTTACCGGGAAAAGTGGCCGGCACAACACGGAACAAACCCTCCTGTGTAGACGGTAAGTGCAAATTCATGTTTAGATACCTTTTTCATGATTGGATGTAATACATTCTTTAGGGAAATGTTCTGAAAAAATAAAAAGCTTTCTCCTATAAAAACAAATCTCATAATGTGCATCAAATTACAATTTGACCCTGTGCTAACACATAAATAAACAAATATTTAGAAGAAATATATGTACATATACTGTGTGTGTGTGTGTGTGTGTGTGTGTGTGTGTCACGATTAGAGCTCAACCTAATCTTTAAGCCTGAGGCACAAGCAGGTGAGAGATATATATATATACTGTATGTATATATATATATATATATATATATATATAT